TGTGAGGTGATTGGACCGTGGGGGTGGTTTCTCATGATTTAACACTATACCCCTTGGTGCTGTCATCATGATAATGCGTGCTCATGAGATTTGGTTGTTTAAAAGTATGTGGAACCTGTCCTCCTCCCTTGCTCCTGCTCTAGCCATATGAAGTGCCTCACTCCCCCTTTGCCTTCTGCCATAATTGGAAGCTTCCTGAAGCCTCTCCAGAAGCAGAAACCACTTAGCCTGTGGAATTGTGGGCTAATACTCTTTTCTTTATAGATAGTCTCGGGTATTTCTTTATAGCGGTCTCAGAAGGGACTAACACAGCCTGTAGATTGTTTGCTTTTTAACTATTGTGTTTTGAGGATTCTTTATACATTCTAGATACCAGTCTTTGTCAGATGTGAGGTTTGTAAATATTTTTCCCAGGATATGACTTGTCTTTTCTTCATCTTATCAGGACTTGATGGAACAAAAGCATTTAATTTTGATGAATTTCAAATTTCCAATTTTTGCTTTGGTAGGTTTTGTTTTTGGTCACAAGTCTAAGAGATCTTTGCCTAGCCCTAGATCTTAAACATTTTTGCCTATATTTTTTGAAAAGTTTAATAGTTTCATGTTACCATTTAAGTACATAACCCATTTCGAGTTCACTTTTGCATAGGGTGTGAAGTTTATGGCATTATTTATTGTGTACCTATAGATGTATAATTGCTTCAGACCATTTGTTTACAAAGCCATCTTTTCTCCATTGAGTTGATTTTTTATCTTTGTCACAAATCAATTTGGGCATATTTTTATGGGTCTATTTATCGGCTCTCTATCGTGTTCCACAGATCCATGTGTCTAACCCTCCACTAATACCACACAGTCGTCATTACTGTAGCTTTATAATAAGTCTCAAAATCAGGTAGACTGATTTCCCCCATTTTATTCTTCCTTTTCAAAATTGTTTTAGATATTCTAGTGCTTTGTCATTTCCTATAAACCCAAAAATAATCTTACCTCTCTATATAAAATACTTGAGATTTTGATAGAAATTGCACTAAACTGGAATATTAATTTGGGGAGAACTGACATCTTTACTAGAGTGAGTCTTCTAATACATAAGCACAGAATGTCTCTTCATTTATTTAGATCTTCCTTGCTTTCTTCATCAGTATTTTATGTAGTTTTCAGTACTCGCATCCCGTATGTGTTTTGTTAGATTAACACCTAAGTTTTTCTCTTTTTCTGAATGATTATAAATGTTATTGTGTATGTTTGTTGCTAATATATAGAAGTATAATTTATTTTTGTATATTTATCTTATATACTAAAACTTTACTGAATTCACTTATTAGCTTTAGGAGCTTTTTGGTAGCTCCCTTGAGATTTTCTGCATATATCATCTGCAAACATGGATAGTTTTATTTCTTCCTCTCTGATCTGTACATTTCTGTTTCATTTTACCTTTTTTGGCTTAATTTACTGAGTAGGAAGTTCCAGCATTGTGCTGAATAAAAGTGGTGATAGTAGGCCTCCTTGCCTAGTTCTTAGGGAAGAACTTAGGGGAAAAGCACTCAGCCTTTCACTACTATGTATAATGATGTTAAGTTGTGGGGGTTTTGTAGATGTTCTTTATCAAGTTAAGGAAGCTCTCCTCTACTCCTAGTTTTCTAAGAGCTCGTTTCCCCCTACAGATCACATATTCATCAAATAATTTTTTGGCATCAATTGATATCTTGGTTCATTTTGTGTTGCTATAAAAGAATACCTGAGGCTGGTATTAAAGAAAAGAGATTTATTTCACTCACAATTCTGTGGGCTGGGAAGTTCAAGAGCATTGCACCACATCTGGCTGGCTTCTGGTGGGAACAAAACATGGTAGAGAGGTGGAAAATCAAGCAGGCATGTGCAGAGTGATCAAATTGTGAGAGAGGAAGCAAGAGAGAGTTCTCTAGGAAGCCAAACTCCTTTTGACAACAACCCACTCTCTGGAGAATGGGAATTTATTCACTCCCATGGGAAAGCATTAATCTGTTCATCAGTGACCCACCTCAATAACCCAAACACCTTCCACTAGGCCCCACCTTCCACCAACACCACACTCAGGATCAAATTTCACAATGAGTTTTGGCAGAAACAAACCACATGCAAACCATAGCAACTGATATGAACATGTGATGTTTTTTCTTCCTTAGCATGTTAATATGATGGTTTTCACTGATCGACTTTCATACACTGAACCAGATTACATCACTGGAAGAAACCCCACTTGATTATGGTGATTATATTTTCTATATATTATGTATTATGGTCACCTTTTTATATATTGTGAAATTTTGTTTGCTCATATTTTGAAAGCAATTTTGCATTTATAATTATATTAGTCTATTCTCATGCTGCTAATAAAGACATACCAGAGACTGGCTAGTTTATAAAGGAAAGAGGACTCACAGTTCCACATGACTAGGGAGGCCTCACAATCATGGTGGAAGGTGAATGAGGAGCAAAGTTACATCTTACCCAGTGGCAGGCAAGTGGGCATGTGCAGTAGAATTTCCCTTGATAAAACCATCAGATCTCATGAAACTGATTAACTATCACAAGAACAGCATGGGAAAGACCCACCCCCATGATTTCATTACGTCCCACTGGGTCCCTCCTGTGACATGGGGATTATTACAATTCAAGGTGAGACTTGGGATGGAGCACAGAGCCAAACCATATCAATAATCATGAAGAATAATGGTCTTGAGCTCTACCTCTAGAGGCAATTTTTTTCCCAAAAAGTACTTCCAGGTCTTCTCTATTATTTATTGCCAAGTCAAAAAATAAGAAAAAATAATGATTAGAATTTATTTCACAAGAGAGCCAATTCAAACTTAAAAATTCTGAGGTATGCATTGAGACTGATAGCATGCTCAAATTCATATCTAAAGTAAAAATACAGTATCATTTTGTATTATTGAAATTTATTTGATACTCTTATGTTAGCTTCTAAAACACATCAAATGCTAACAAAAATTTACTTAAATTCTCATTTTTGTGTTATGCTTAACTAATAAACACATAAGCCAATCTACCTGATATGATTTGGCACTGTGTCCTCATCCAAATCTCACTTAGAGTAAATTCTTAGAGTTGAATCGGAACCTCCTAGAGACCTGTTGAATGGCTTTGACCGAAATGCTGATAGTGATATGGATGGTAAGGTCCAGGCTGAGGCGGTCTCAGATAAAGATGAGAAACTTGTTGGTAACAAGTAAAGGTCACTCTTGCTATGCAAAGAGATTGGTGGCATTTTGCCCCTGCCCTAGAGATCTGTGGAACTTTGAAGTTGAGAGAGATTATTTAGGGTATCTGGTGGAAGAAATTTCTAAGTGGCAAAGTGACAGAGTGAGGATCTGTCTCAAAAAAAAAAATGTTTCCTGATATGGGTTACTTTTCTGCCAGATAGTTACTAAATATATCTTACATTATTAAGTATCTCAGCCTTTTTTCTCTGTCTCTCAACTACTGTCAGTTTGATTGCTGATCTTTTAAAAATCAAATAGGAATACACTCAGAGCTTTTATATTCTGACTATATTGCAGAACAGTATCTTGAGTGAAGTTGTCTCTGGTCTTTCTAATCTATAGATTTTTTTTTTTTGTTAAACATGTTTAGGAGCTTCATAGCTGTCCTAGTAAAAGTAAAGAACGGATACTTGATCAAAAACTATGATGAACGCAGTGTCGTCAAACACCGTTTTAGACAAGCACAAATTATCTTGATAAAAATTTTTTTCCAAGCTTTTATTTAGCAAAATTGGTATACAAAAACCTGCACATAATTATATAATTTGGAGTTTGGACACATGTGTTACCATCACCACCATCCAGGTAATAAGCCTATTAGCCAAGCCACCTCCAATCTAATGTATAATGTTGAATAACCTGCCCTGTCACGGCAGTGGGCAGTGAGCTGTGGGCAGTAGAGCCAGGAAACAGATTATCACCTTCTAACCTCAGAGTGGCTGGTAACTTTTTATCTGCGGCTGTACTGTGAAATCCCCATCCCAACCAGGCAATTTTGAAAAACAAAATTAATCACTTTGGAGGCAAACCTGGCTCTGCATCTCTGGGCAAATTGCTTTATTTCTCTGAGCTCAGTTTCTTCATCTGAAAAGTGGGGATAATAACATACTTCCTCACAGGGCAGCTAGCAGATTAAGTGAGGTAGTATACAGCACATGTTGGCCCTCATAATGGGAAGCACATTTGTTTGGATTATTGTTCTCTAAGTTGTATAGGAAAGATAATAAAATTTTCTAATTTTCACATTAATGGCAGATAAATTTGATGCTCTGGACAATGTAATGCTTTCTTCTTGGTCATCTAGATGCAATGAATTTCAGCCATTATCTTCTTCAGGCCATTTCCTATTTTCATATTCCTCCAGCCAGGGATATCCCAAACTATAATTCCAGCAGAGACTTTCTCAGGAAGCTCAGTTTTTACATCTCACGAGGCTTCTTTGGAATTGTGAAATTCTGCCAAAATTGCTCAACATTTGGCATGCAATAGTTTACCATGGGAGTGATGTCATCCTTATCCTTTAAATGTTTAGATGATTGTATTCTTTAAGCAAATGTAAATTGCATGTCTGTTGTATGTGGAGCATTGTTAAAACTGGAGATCCATGGTGAATCATACTCACAAGCTCCTGCTTTCATGGACTGCAAATCCAGTGGAGGAGACCAATAAAAAGAAAAAGAGTGGCTGTGTGCGGTAGCTCAGGCCTTTAATCCCAGCACTGTGGGAGGCAGAGGCGGCCAGATCACTGGAGGCCAGGAGTACCAGACCAGCCTGGCCAACATAGCAAAACCCCGTCTCTACTAAAAATACAAAAATTCGCCGTGACTTGGTGGCGCATGCCTGTAATCCCAGATACTCGGGAGGGTAAGGCAGGAGAATCACTTTAACTTGGGAGGCAGAGGTTGCAGTGAACCAAGATGGCACCACTGCACTCCAGCCTGGGCGACAGCCAGACTCCATCTCAAAGAGAAAAAAGAAGAAGAAGAAAAAAAGAGATGACAAGGAAAGGAGGGGGAAGGGAGAGAGAAACGAAGGGGAAAGAAGGATGGAAGAAGAATGTGAAATTCTGCCGAAATTGCTCAACACTTGGCATGCAATAGTTTACCCTGGGAGTGAGATCATCCTCAGCTGTTCAACGTTTAGATGAGAGATCGACTCCAGATGCGTGAGAAGGCCCTCAGTGCGCGTGCGCGGGGCGGGCAGGTGTGCGTGCACTTCCTCCTTGCCCCGACCCAGACCCGGTAGGTGGCACCATGGCTGCTCCCCGGCCTGCACCCCCGCCGCAGCCGGTCACCCACCTCATCTTTGACATGGGTGGACTTCTTCTGGATACTGAACGACTGTATTCAGTGGTGTTTCAAGAAATATGCAATCGCTATGACAAGAAACACAGCTGGGATGTAAAGTCCCTGGTTATGGGTAGGAAGGCATCAGAGGCGGCACAGATTATAATGGATGTTCAAAGAGGATCTGGTGGAAGAAAGCCAAATGAAGTTAAAGGAAATGTTCCCCACGGCTGCGCTCATGGCAGGGGCTGAAAAACTCATCGTCCATCTGCGGAAACATGGCATCCCCTTTGCCCTGGCTACCAGCTCGGGGCCTGCATCGTTCAAGATGAAGACGAGCAGACTGAAGAAGTTCTTCAGCTTGTTTTCTCACATTGTGCTGGGAGATGACCCCGAAGTGCAGCGTGGCAAGCCAGACCCCGACATCTTCCTAGCGTGTGCCAAGAGGTTCTCTCCTCCTCCAATGGAGAAGTGCCTTGTCTTTGAAGATTTTCCCAATGGGGTGGAGGCGGCTCTGGCAGCTGGGATGCAGGTGGCCATGGTTCCAGATGGAAACTTGAACCAAGACCTGACGACAAAGGCCACCGTGGTGCTGAATTCCCTGCAGGACTTCGAGCCCGAGTTGTTTGGTTTGCCCCGCTATGAGTGACAGGGAGGGCCTCGCTGTGCCCCGCCCCAGCCCACGGTCGTGGTCCACACTGCTTGGGGAAAGGGAAAGGAAATCGGCAACTCTCAAATCCCAACCTGCACAGTGATTTTAGCTTCCTGAGATTGATGTTTCCATCCTGCGTTGGCTTGCCCCACTCTAATGTGTTGATAAAACGTGACTTGACAATTGAGAGAAACACAGTAGACAGAAACAAAGCCCAGAACAAATATGAAACTTGAATTACCATCTCAAAAATCAAGCTGATGGAGTATGTGATAAAGTGAATGTACATGTATACATATACATACGCACCTCTATATATACACATGTATATCAGTATGTTAATATGCATGTGGGCATTACATGTATATGTATGTAGATAACATGCATTTATGTATATGTGAAATATATACTCTTCCAAAACAAAATGGAACATCATTTCTCTTTTATTCTAGTTTTTCTGAACACTGGCTGGGAAATGTAAACTGTGTATGCATGTAAGTATATGCTTTATAGATGCATATGTAGTGCATATGTTTATATCAGCTGCATCACTCTCCTCAGTGTTGACGTTAGTATGCAGTGACAACTGATAAAGGGAGATGGTAGTTCTGCTTGGCTTTCAGTCTCAGTGGGAAAGCCCTGTTTTTGATGAGCACTAAGAAGTACTTCTTGTTAGCTAACATTTAAGTTCTTTTTGTGACCTCAGAATGTCTCTGGATCTTTCTTCATTGACTGACTCTGAGCCACATCGTCCATAACTTATTGTTAGTATGAATACAACTGTAACATTTACCTGGTATCTACATCCTTATCTACATTGGAGAATGCTTTCTACCTGAGAACAACCATTTGCCTCCTTTAAGAACACTGATGTCCTGTACTTTTTGGGTAGAAATACAATTTGATTTCGGAATGTATGCTTGGTGATTCTGAGTGACCGGGAACACTTTTGGAATAATTTATCAGACATGGAACTTCTGTGATTAATTGCTTTTACAGATTTAGTCAATCTTTAAAATTTGTTTATGATTTGCCAGAGAAAAGCAATGATAGCCATGGAAATTTGGAGTTAAGGAGCGCTGCTCCATTGTGGTTCAGCTCTTCTCAGTGGCCTCTGCCCTTTGATGTCCTTGAGCATGTGTGTATGCGGTGTAGTGATTGTCTGTGGATGACAGGCCCTGGCTATTGCATCAATTTAGCAAATTTATTTCCTCATTCCCAATGACCAGTATACATGTCTTCACTTTGAGTGCTCCTCTGAACCAGTTGTAATGTCTTACTGTTTCCCTAACAAATTGAATTAGTTTAATAAAATCTTTTGACACATGTTAAAAGAAAAGTTTAGCTGAATGTGTTCTTTAAGCAAATGTGGATTGCCTGTCTGTTGTATGTGAAAAAGCCAGGTATGAAAATGTCCTCTATTGAACAAGATAATATGAAAGAAATGGCAGTGGGACTATGTTTGAGTGGCCAGTGGAGACCTTTTTGAGGAGGTGACATTTAAATTGAATTTCAGTGATTAAGAAAGGGACCAACAAAAGCAAGATCAGTGAAGAGAACATTCCCAGAAGAGGAAAGCACCAGGGGAAAGAACTGGACAGAGGGTAGGAGTAGATCCGTACGCTGCAGGCCAGGGGGATTGGAGAGGAGAGGACTGCAGAGTTGAGGGCGCTCAGGTGGAGAGATAGCAAGGCCAGAGCTTGTAAGGGTGAGGAGTGGGGGCTTAATTCTAAGTCTGAAGAAGAGCCACCGGGAGTGATAGGATCTGTTTGCTGTCTGGCAACCCGATGTTGCCTTATTCATGGTTGAAGTTGGTTCCCACCCATCTAGCTAGGGCACTACCCTGGACAAAAGTGATGGGCACATACCTGGGTATCTAATTTACCAGTCCACATTGTCACTGGCTCCCTTCTCTTTGGCCTAAAACTGAGATTAAAAGCAGGAAGGCATTAGCTCTTGGTTAAAAAAAAACCTCTACCCGCACTGCCCCACAGCTTCATTAAAAAGAAACTCCAACTGGGCTCACAGAAGTGGCAAAACATATATTGTGGGAGTCATTAGCAATGTTAACTCACTTTGAACTGCTCATGGGCAGAGCCATGACTTTCCCCATACACAGGCCAGTGCCTGAGTCCATCAGTCTCCATAAGCATTTGTTCTTCATTTGATAAATGAGTAGATAGTTGTATTTTAGGGTATGATATTCATTCATTTAACAGATGTTTACTGGGTACCTAATATCTGCCAGGCACCATTCTAGATTCTGTGATAGAGAACTGAACAAAATAGACAAATATGTCTGCCCATGAAGATTACATTCTAGTGAGACGTGGGTGTGTCATGACTTTTACATATTCCTGAGTATCCCAGGTTGTGATGGCGGTGGTGGTGGTGCTGTTGCTGCCGGTCTGCATATGTGTGTGTTTATGTGTGTGTACATGTATTTCTTGGGAAACAGGAGGTTTATAGAGGGTAGAATAGTGGATATTAACGTAAAAAAAGTTGACTTTTAGAGAAGCTACTAATAGCCAGCTGAAAGCAGCGGAGCATGCTGTGTCTACTTTCAGCCCTGTATGCTCTGATTGTAGAACAGAAGGAGCACTAGAGTCTGGAGCACCACAGAGTGAGTACTCCACAGAGCCAGCATTCAGGTGGCCTTGAGGACAGCGTTTTCAGTGTCATCTGAAGGTCTAGCTGAACAGAACCTGAATTTCCTTGTATCAGCTAGGGCTCCTAGATCCCAATCATGAATGAGAAGCTGGCAGAGTGCAGTGGCTCATGCCTGTAATCCCAGCACTTTAGGAGGCTGAGGTGGGAGGATCACTTGAGCCCAGGAGTTCAGGGCTATAGTGAGCTCTGATGGCACCACTGCACTCCAGCCTGAGTGACCACAGTGAGATCCTATTTCTTAAAACAAAACAACAACAAAATAAGAAACTTCTATAGCTAATTGGAGCAAAAAAAATATTTACTGAAGGATATTTGGCACCTTATGAGAGAACAGTGATGGAGACTATACAGCAAGAATGATGCCAAAATTGCGTGCAGGACTGCTCCATGGACACCAGAGGACAGCACTGAGTACAAATCCTGCTGCTCACACCGCTGACACAGGAATCGGACACCATCAGGACTGGCAGCTCAATGTCTCAGCCCAACCCTTGCCACAACTGAGTTTCCAAAACTTTTCTAAAATTCAAGAATAACACAGAATAAAATAGAATTATCACAGACCACACTTCCATATAACTGCCACCCTGGTCAAGAAGTAGAACTTTAACTACAGCACCCTAGAAGTCCCCTCCCATGCCCCTCCCATGCCCAGTTCCCACCCCTATCCCTATCTCTCCTCAAAGGCAGAATAGCTCTTCCTGTCCTTCTCTTCCGAGTAGAAAATCTTGTCTCTGATTGGAGCAGCTGGGGAAGGTGAGTTTCTGACATTTACACCATAGAGACAAAGATTTAAAATAATTTCCTCAAGGATAGAAAGGGTTTTCTTAGGTTTTGAACAGCTTTATAGTATCACAAACTGTTATCATGTTCTCCAATGGGTAAATAAACATTTCAGCCTCATTAGGGTTGAACCACGTGATATTTTAAATTTTGTAGGTTAAAAGTGGTTGAATATCAACAGTTTCTTGTGGTTTAACAAGCAAAGAGTGTCAGCCAAAGCACAGGAAATGGAAAGGCATCTGAAAGAGCTGAATCAGGAAGTGCCCAAGAAAGGTGAGAAATGCTTGAAGCCACCCTCAGTTAGTAATGTGAGGCTTTGAACCTGTAAGTTACCTAGATTCTTATCCAGCATCAGTTAGTAATGTGAGGCTTTGAACCTCTAAGTTACCTAGTTTATTACCTGTAGCATCTCTCACTTCTATATGAGAAGTTTGTGGAACTGAGAGAAGTGGTCTCTCTGTGCATGTGTGTGTTGCTTAGTAGTGAGCACTGCAAGAGAAGGAACACTGGGAGGAATTTAAAGGGACTGGCTGTGAAACCTCAAGACAGAAAGGAAGCATCACAGCTTGGTAGGTGCCAGGCCAATAGAGAACTGTCCAAGCAAGACAGAGCTACAACCTTGTTTGGGTCCTTCTTCGAAGGCAGCAGGGTGGGTTGTACTACATTTTATAACTCTTCTAAGTGGCTGTGGTTAAAATACACATCCTTAATTCAAGCAAATCATCAGGTGGCACAAAGACAGGCTATGATTACATTCAGCTCAACATTGCTTAATAGAGGAAAAATAGAAATGACCTAGATGTTCAATTATGAGAGATTTTTAATATAAATTATTTATCCATGTAATGGAATGCTAAGTAGTATCTAAAAATAGTATTGTAGAAGAATATTTAATGATAAGTAAAGCTGTGGAGGAAGCAGTATAATGATTGAAAGTTTAGACTCCAGAGTCAAAATGCTTTGAGTCTTGGCTCTACTACTTACTAGCTGAGCTAAGGTGGGCAATTCTTCACTTGAGAGGTTAGAAGGCTTATTATAGGTAAAACATGCAAAAGAGTTTCTGGAACATAAGAGACACTGTGTATATGTCAACTATTATGATGATTATTGTTGTTGACTGAATGTTTGTGTTCCCCCAAATTCATATATTGAAATCCTAGCCCTTAATATGATACTAGTAAGAGGCAACTAGGTCATAGGTAATTACCTATGGGAGGTAATTAGGTCATAAGGACAGAGCCCTTGTGAATAGGATTTGTGCCCCTAGAATACGAGACAGAAGAGCTGGTTTCTTCTCTGCCATGTGAGGATACAACCAGATGACCATCTGCAGATCAGGAAGTGGCTCTCTGCAGACACCAGATTTACCAGTATCTTGAGCTTAGACTTCCAAACCTCCAGAACTGTGAGAAATAAATGTTTATGGTTTAAGCCACCCAGTCTAGGATATATTTGTTATAGCAAGCCAAACTGACTAAGACAATCATATTCTTAAGGAAACCAACAAGGTTTAAAAACATAGTATAAACTATTTAATCATGTGTATTTACTTTTGTTCCCTTACAAAATCTCACTTAAAAAGGCTGGGCATGGTGGTTCACATCTGTAATCTTAGCACTTTGGGAGGCTAAGATGGGTGGATCACTTGAGGTCAGGAATTTAAGACAAGCTGGCCAACATGGTGAAACCCCGTCTCTACTAAAAATACAAAAATTAACGAGGTATGGTAGTCCATGCCTATAGTCCTAGCTACTCAGGAGGCTGAGGCAGGAGAATTACTTAAACCCAGGAGGCAGAGGCTGCAGTGAGCTGAGATAATGCCACTGCACTCCAGCCTGGGTGACAGAGTGAGACTCCATCTCAAAAACAAACAAAAAACTCACTAATGGAACAATAAAGGAATTCGGAAATCAAAGTTCATGAGGACAGAAGGAAAATGGAGATGCAGCATATACATGTTTTGGCCAAATGCTAAATGAGTGAATGTTAAAATCAGTATTTGTCCAAAACCAAGGGGAACACCAAATGGCACCATCATTTGATTAAATTTCTGGGATATGAGAATAAATATAAAGTTTCAATTAATATTTCAATTTTATTAGGAAAAAATTTTAGTAATCAAATATTAGAAATTTGACATTGTTGGGCAGAAACCCAATTTTCTCAGCATTGTCAGCTGCGGAATGCTCTGAGGGTCACTGTATTGCACATTGGCAATACTAAAGGCATTGCTGGCTTTTAACTGAGGTGGGTAGAGTGGAAGATTTTAGTAGCAGCAGCAGTAGCAGCAGTATTTTGGCTAGCCCTCCCAGTGTGGGATAATTACTGATCGCAGTGCTAACACGAAGTTATCAAGTCGTTTTCCCTCTCTAATTGTCACTGCCTAAAGCAGAGAGTTAACTCCTCTTTGGTTTCAGCAATTAGAACTTAAATGATAGTGATAATGCAATTTCATTGAGGCAAATCACTTCATTAAAAAGGTGCTTAAATATTTTTAGAAATAGATTTAATATCACTGCCTTCCTTTCTTTTTCTTTTTTGGGGTGGTAGGCGGGCAGAATAGGCATTGGATGGTTTATCACCTGAGAAGATTTTCCTTATATCCTGATCTAGAAATGTGGCAATGGATAGATGCCGTTGGCTTTGAAAGTCAGAAAAAATCCTCCTTAAATTTCCATTTGTATCTCAATTTTTATTGTATGCTCTCTAATTCCAGCATCTATCCTGGAATAGAAGGATAGATGGATCTTTACAACAAGTAACATACAAAAGATACTTGCCCTCTCAAGAAACATCATTTTGGTATGCTCTGCAGCATACTCCAAGACCCAAGCTGCTTTTTCTGCAAACAACTGTTGGATTTTGGATCTACTAG